TAATTCAATCTGTAAAACACACTGATAGCAGAATCGCTCTGATTAGAGAAAGAGACCCAGAGAACCTCCCATTCAGCCTTCCCCTCAGCTTCCCAGTCCCTCTTGGGGAGCCCCTGAGTCCCCAGAGAAGCAGTTTGGAAACTTACAAAATGGGTAAATTCTAAGATTACTTCCATCTCCAACAACCTAGAATTTAACAAATGTCCCCTAGGAATTTACATTCTAAAAGGAAATACTTGACCATTGCACAGGAAGCTTTAGCCATGCCAGCCAGAAGCTCAAAAAGGACTGCAGATGGTGGGATGATTTAATTCCAAGTCCTGTTGGGTAAGGATTGGAAAGAACTGGGGGAATTTCAGCCACAGAATAAACCTAGGGACATTGTCATTGTTTTCAAACATCAGAAGTGCTATCATGGTATCTGATTCTTCTGTATTCCCAATGCTTATGTTGTCTCCAGGCACTTGGTGAAAATTTGTTAAGTGAATTATAAATCAATCCATCAACTCATGAAAGAAAAGCATACCTAACATCATTAACAAAGAGAAAAGCCCGATAACAGGATGCTGGTACTGCCAGGTTTAGCAGAATGCTTAGCTCTTGCATTTCAATCCAAGATGTATGGACCTACCCAATTTGCATTGCAAAGGGACAGGGGGCACAATTTAGGAGATAGCGGACTCCATTTTACTGGCAATATTTCGCACTCTGATGAGTAGAAAGGAAGAGAAATCCCTGAGTTTTATTTAAGACTTGATATTCTTTTTCTTATTCACAGACTTCAGATGCAAAGGGTTGACTTAATCACATTCCCCAGCTCATGGCATATTGCCAACACTGGGCCCCTTTTTCTTTTATTTGTTTGCCTCCTCACTCACTCATGAACACTTATACCCACTCCCCACTGCTGCCCTCCTCCATTCCAATATGCTTAGTGTTCAACTTTGTGTACGGATACCCTTGTTATTTCATTGCATTTTTTAATTATTTTTGAGGTATACAACGTGATGTACTGATTTATGTACACATCATGGAGTGATTACCATTTTTGTTGCATTTTTAATTTATATAAAACATCTTGTGTTATAGATCTCATTCGTTTTCTTACTTTTGCCCCTCAGATTATATCTTTAAAATCTATCAGTGTGGCTATGAGGAATTCTAGTAAGTCATTTCTAGACAGCTGCTCTATACCCACGGTGTGCTCCTATCACGTTTCCCAGCCTAGTGATAGGCAATCAGGTTGCTACAAATTCCCCATCACTGCAACTGACACTGCAGACACATTCTCCTCCACAAACTTTTATTTGCCTATGTACCAGTCTCTCTGGGATATCTGTCTAGGAGCAGGATTGTAGGGCCATGGGATATTCATTCACTTGGCTAGAAACATGCTGGTTTGTTCTCTGAGCATTGTGTTACAAGTTTATCGTTTGATAAGTACCAGCTTTACAATCCAATCAGCAGTACCTAACGATCCCTACATTGCCACATCCCTTTGCAAGAGTTGTCTTTATTCTCCTTTCCAATGTTTGCCAGGCTAACAAATGTAAAGTGAAATCTCATTGTTTATTTTGCCATTTCTCTGATAACCAATGGATTTGAGCATTTCTTCATGGGCTTATTGGCCCTTTGGTTTTCTTGCTCATTTTTCTACTGGGATTCATAGATTTCTCTTTCTGATGTGAAAGTGATCATTGTCTGTAACACCCATTCGTACCTCAACTGTTACACATTGTAAATATTATCTCCCAACCTTTCATGTCTGTTAGCTTTATTCATAATTATGCTGAAACTTATTTTTGCCTTTTTTAAGGTTAAGTGTCTTATTTAAGAAGTTCTGCCCCGTCTAGTTCATAGATAGTCTCCTACAGTTTTTTTCTATTAACTTGATAGATTCATGGGTTACCACAGACAAGTTCACAATCCATCTGATTCCACCTTTATACATGATATTAGATAGTATTTTTTTATAATCTTCAAAATAGTGAGCCAGTGTTCCCAATACTTCCAGACAGTCTATCCTTTCCCCCATTGGTTTTTAGTACCACCATTTTTCTGTATTAAGTTCTTATATAAATATAGGTCTCTCTCTGAGCTATCTAGTTTTTCCCATTGGTCTCTTACCAGTTCTTGCACCAAAACCACACTATTTTTATTATTATGGATGTCTGTTGTTCTTAATCTCTAATAAGATAAATGCCCTCTTTTTCTTTCTATTTTCAAGTTTGACTTAGCTATTTCCTGATCTTTATTGTTATATGTAAATTTGAGACTAAATTTATCAGTGACTCTAAAAAAACCAACAGAGGGACGCCTGGGTGGCTCAGTTGGTTAAGCAGCTTTCTTCGGCTCAGGTCATGATCCTGGAGTCCTGGGATCGAGTCCCACATCGGGCTCCTTGCTCGTCAGGGAGCCTGCTTCTCCCTCTGCCTCTGCCTGCCATTCTGTCTGCCTGTGCTCGCTCTCTCTCCCTCTCTCTCTCTGACAAATAAATAAATAAAATCTTAAAAAAAAAAAACCAACAGATATTTTCATTGAGAGTGAACTAAACTTACAGATTAATGTGGGAAATAACATCTTTGTAATATTATTCATTCCATCCAAGAAGATGGATTTCTTTCCACTTATTTTAATCGTCTATACACTCTATTAGACTTTGCATGGTAGTTTTGTCTATTCTTAGATAAATTCCTAGAGCTTTAGAGTTTGTTCTACTACAGTGAATAACATCTTATTTATTAGTACATATTCTGATTAGTTATTTCTAGTCTATTATATTGGTTATTTATATTCTATTCCAGAGAGATGCTATGGATTTTTTAAGTTGATCATGTATCCAGCCACTCTGCTGAACTCACTTATTGGTTCTAATAGTTTTTCAATTGATTCTATTCTTTTTTTCCAAGATAATCCTATCTTCTTTAAATAATGAGTTTTATATTTTTTCCTTCCATCCCTTTACCATGTTTTTCTTTTCTTAGAGTGTTAGACAGAATTTCCAATAGTATGTTTAACATTTGTGGTGGTAATGGATATCATAGTCTTGCTTCTCATCTTTAAAGGAATACATTTAAGGTTTATCCATTTAGTGTAGGGTTTGGGTGTAGGTAGCTTTTAGCAAATTAAGAATATTCCCTGTTCCTAGTTTTCTAACAGAGGTCAGTGTAAACAGATGTTGAACTTTGCAAAATTCTTGTTCTGTTTTGATAAAAATTATCATGCAATATTATCCCCCTTTCTCTTATTAACATGAAGAAGTATTTGATGGAGTTTTGTGAAATCTCCATTACTGGGACAAATCCCACTTGTTCATGATCTAATATTTTTAGTACTATCTTGGATTCATTTAATAATTGCTTTATTTAAGATTTTACATATTTAAGATTATGTTCATAAACAAAATGGACTTAGAGTTTTCTTTTCTTATTTTTATTCTGGTTTTGGACTCAGTATTACACTAACATTATAAAATGGGCCAGAAGGTTACCCTCTTCCCTCTGTTTACTAGTTTCTGGAACAATTTGCATAAAATAGAATTAGCTATTTTGAAAGTTTGGCAGAACTTAACTTAAAGTCATTTGGGCCAGATATTTTGAAAGGGAAGGCTTCTGACTACCATTTATACTTTCTCAATAATTCATTAGTCTATTCAAATAATTCTTGTACAATTTATATATTTCTAGAAGAATGTACCCATTTCGTTTAAATTTTTCATAAAATTTTCTATTGTAGAAGACTAATTATCTCTAATGCCTAAAATAATTTCTCCTATCTTGATGATTTTTTTTCATGCTTTTTTTAAATCATTTTTTTAATTTATTTTCCGCATAACAGTATTCATTGTTTTTGTACCACACCCAGTGCTCCATGCAGTCCATGCCCTCTCTAATACCCACCACCTGGTTCCCCCAACCTCCCGCCCCCCCACCTCTTCAAACCCTTCAGATTGTTTTTCAGAGTCCATAGTCTCTCATTGTTCACCTCCCCTTCCAATTTCCCCCAAATGCCTTCTCGTGATTTTTCTTGCCAAGGGGTCTATTTCATTGATATTTCGTTAGGATTCCTATATAGTTTCCTAGGGCTCCTACAACAAATTACCACAAGCTTGATGGCTAAAAACAACAGAAATTTATTCTTTCACAGTTCTGGAAGCCAGAAGTCCAAAACCTTAAAATAAAGGGATTATCCTCAATTACCCAAATGAGCCCAGTGTAATCACAGGGTCCTTAAATGCGGACGGATGAGGCAAAAGAGAACCAGAGAGATGGCAACATAAGAAGGACTCACCCATCCTTGCTGGCATTGAAGACAGAGGGAGGGAGCCACTCACCAAGGAATGTGCAATTTCTAGAAGCTGGAAAAGGCAAGGAACTGGATTCTTCTGTGGAGTCTCCAGAATGGAAAGTAGCCTTGTCAACATCTTGATTTTTTCAGCTTTCTGACCTACAGAACTGTGAAATAAAATTTTGTGTTGTTTTAAGCTACTAAGTTAATAGTAATTTGTTATAATAGCCATAGAAAACTACACACTCCAATAAGAATTATCCTAAACAGAAAATCCTTAAGGACTTTGTTCCTTTTCCCTCTTTTCCCAGGAAAGGCCAATTTGTCCTGAGTCTGAACCCTGTCACTCTGTCATCCTCCTCCCAGTGACCAGTTCCCCCTCCAAAACACACTACCCTGGCTTACCCACCCCTTACCCTTTGCCTGGTTTCCTCTAGATTACATCTATTATTTTTCAGCTGAACACAATTAGGTACAGAATACTAACAAGAAGTATCATTCATAGTATAAGCAACATATACATAGAATATTGTAGATCTCAAATACTTTTTCAGATATGTTGTCTTATTTGAACTTAACAGTAAACTTCAAGACATGACATTTTATTTTCCCCATTTCCAAGGGTTATTATCTGAACCACTCTGGTTCCAATATCTGAACCAGAACTAATTTCCTAATCATGAGTTTTTTTCCATCACCTCTCCTGATTCTAGGAGTCTAGTCTTCCAGTTACGAATTTAAAACCCACAGTCTTACCAGGAGTGGTCAGGGATGACATTTCTGGTTCAATCTGTTGGCCAATATTTATTACACAACTACATGAGCCAGGTGGAAAACAGTGGGAAGCAAAAACAGACTTGAACCCTGCCTTGGTAGCACTTTCACCAAGGACCTATCCAGATGCTGTATGGATGGCCTTGGTGGGCCCTTGCCTAGTGGAAGAATCCAATTCAGACCTTCTGAGCACCAAGTATCTCAGAGAGGAAGGAAACACTTCAGAAAACAATGCTGCTGTATGCATGCACCTGTTAAGATGCTAAAAGGAAAACAAAAAAAGCCTGAGTTCTCCTAAGGAGGGCCACCACTTTCATTCAAGATAACTAAGCATTAAAAACACATCATTAGTACTTAGTTTGTTTCTGACTCATTGTCAAAAGTACCAGAAAGATGGTGAGAACACAAAGGAGTATAGGATATGGACTTCTCCAAATCAAATTGCATCCCTAATTCTACCCTCCCTTACCTAGGATTACTACCACTACTTCTAGTCTCTCTTTTCCGCTGTTTTCTCCGAAGCCAATCCTATCCTTAGGCAGGGTGGACATATTGAGTATATATTCTGTGACTCAGCATCTCGCTATCAACCCAGGTGGCTGCTGGCTGGTTCTAATTCTATGTCCCAATGGTTCCTTGTCTTGCCCCACTTCAACTGAATCTTTACATTGGTAGATAAATGACTAGCCAGGCTGGAGCCTTGGCTCTTTCCTTTTGGGAGGACCCATTCCTGAATCTCAGCACCTTTCTGTGCATACCTCTCAGTGTGTTTTTTCCAGAATATTGCATCTTCCCACATTTCCATTGCCCACATTACCACCCCTTAGACTCTTCTTGCCTATAAGGGCACTCATGCTTCAGTTCCTCTGTGCCTTATTGATGCCACTCACCTCCCTAAACCACCAAGTTCAATGTTAGGTAACTATGCTCCCCCTACTAGAGACAGTTCTCCAACTTCTCACTCACCTTTGACAGTTCCACACCCTGATGGACATGTCAGATTTCCAGGTCCCAAGCACTCCTAGTCTGACCTTCTCGCCCATAATTAAATTCTCAAATGCATTCCAAAACCACTTTTATTTTTCAAGAAAGGTTGGATCCAAGAATATAATCTCTATAGTAGTTATGTGATTGGTACAGGGAGAACTTAGGATACCCTACCTTCCTCACACTGGGGAAGCAGAAGATAGAAATCCTGGCAAGAAGCACCAGGTAGAAGGAACTAGAGGTTAGCAGGCTGATCAGAAACTGAGGCCCGGGGCGCCTGGGTGGATCAGTTAATTAAGCGCCCGACTCTTGATTATGGCTCAGGTGATGCTCTCAGGGCTGTGAAATGGAGCCCCATGTTGGGCTCCATGCTGGGCTTGGAGCTTGCTTAAGATTCTCCCTCTCTCCCTCTCCCACTGCCCCTTCCCACCTTCTTTCTTCCTTCTCAAAAAAAAAAAAGCAAAAAAAAAACCAAAAAAAAAAAAACCGCTTGAGGCCAAACAAAGCAACATATATGTCTTAGATACGACTTGGGAAATGAAGCGAAATGATTGCTTTCTGAACATTTTTCCAAAGGTCGTTACCACATATTGTCAGAATAGCCTAAGAACATGGGTAGTACACATTTTGTCTCTTGAATAAAAAACAAAAGATGAAGTACCATGTTCAAGTCCACAAAATTAGTCAGATGCAAAGTTGGAATTGAAATCGAGGTAGCCAACACCAATTCTGTGAAGTCATATAAAATGCATGGTGGGCTATAAGAACTTCCTTTCTGCAGGGCACAAGTTGGAACAAGTTATAAGATATCTCCTCTACCAGACTGAAGACACCAAGCCAGGACATACACCAAACATTCCTCCATATTTTTTACTTACAGGAAAGCAATGCTGAGGGGAAACCAGAGCCATATGACTGAATTCTTCCTCCTGGGACTGACCAGTGACCCCAAAGAGCAGGGGTGGCTCTTTGCCAGCTTCCTCACCATGTATCTGGTCAACGTGGCTGGCAACTCAGTCATCATTGCAGCCATCCGGGGGGATGCCCGCCTCCATACCCCCATGTACTTCTTCCTTTCCAACCTCTCCCTGGTGGACATCTGCTTTACAAGTGTTATTGTGCCAAGGATGCTGGCAAGTATGCTGAGCAAGAACAAGAAGGTCCCCTTTGCCCAGTGCCTCACACAGATGTATTTCTTTGTGGCCTTTGGGATCACTGACAGCTTCCTCCTGGCTGCCATGGCTCTTGACCGCTACACTGCCATCTGTCACCCGCTGCATTACACCACAACCATGAGCCCCCAGCGTTGTCTTCTGCTGGTGATGTCATCCTGGGTGCTGTCCCACCTCCACTCACTCACTCACACGATTCTCATGGCCCACCTCTCCTTCTGTGGGCCCAACGTCATCCACCACTTCTTCTGTGACGTCCAGCCACTGCTGACGCTCTCCTGCTCTGACACCTCCGTCAATGAGCTTCTGGCCTTCACAGAGGGCTCCTTTGTGATCATGAGTCCCTTCATCTTGATCATTGTCTCTTATGTTTTCATCACCCGTGCCGTTCTGAGGGTCCCTTCCGGGGGAGGCAGGTACAAGGTCTTCTCCACCTGTGGATCCCACCTCACGGTTGTGGCACTATTCTATGGAACCATAATATTTGTGTACATTCGCCCTTCATCCACCTACTCAGTGACAAAGGACCGTGTGGTCACTGTCATCTATACAGTAGTTACTCCCATGCTGAACCCTTTTATCTATAGTCTTAGGAACAAGGACATGAAGCAGGCCTTGAAAAAGCTGATCAGAAGGGCAGAATAGCAAAACCCATTCATTCATTCAACAAGAACCCATGAAACACCTGTTGTGTGCCAAGAACTGTGTTGAATTATGAAAATATTGCAAAGATATATCAACCATAGCTCTGTGTCAAAATTAGCCACAGTCCAATAAGTGGAAATGAGACAATTGCAATAGAAGGTTATTATACCTTTTGGTAAAAATAAATAAAATGAGACACAGATATTGATATCTTACTGTATCAGACACACAGTTTCCTTTTTTTTTCTTTTGTAGTCTCTGGCTCATATGAGTCACAGACATAACCCGTGTTGTGTAAAAAAGTATCCTGAAGAAAAGCTGGAATAACTTCTGTTGTGATGTTTTTTTAATCTCATATGAAGCCTCAATAAGTCAATATTGTCATCATAAGAGTCATTCATCTCATGCACAAACTCCTTGGGTCTGGCTAATGGGTTTTCCTATTACCTTTAGAACAGCTCATAACCTCTCCAAAGCTGTTCACATAGTTGTCAGAGAAGGCAGCTTCACCAGCATAGTAATAAGCTCCTAAGATTCAGAGTGAAAACTTAAGTTGCAGCTTGATCTCACAAATTGTGTGACCATAATCAAGCCATGAAATGCCCTGAACTCTCATTTTCCTCATCTACATAATGGATTCAATAAATAATCTCACTACATGGTTGTGGGTGTCAAAGGAAAAATTCTAAGTTTAGTCACTTTGAATCATTTACCTAACCCCTCTGAGCTTCTGCTCCCTAGTTCTGAGATTATACTACTTGGCCTAGAAGCCCAAATCCACCATTACCAACCCCATGATCTTGGGCAAGTACATTAACCCCTCTGTACCTCAGTTTTCATATGAAAAGTAGACTGCTGTGGGAATTAAATGATGTAATAAGTGTCCTAAAATATATATTATTTCTGTTTTAAGTCTCTGAGACAGTGTCTTGCATATAGCAAGCCTCAGATAAATTTCAGACACTATATCAAAACTTGATGAAAGTGTGTCCATGGACCCTTCCCAGATAACATCTGAAGATTTGTAATAAGGTGGAAATTATCACACATCCTCAAAGTGAGTTCAGTCTAAGTGTCTCCTGAAATTATTTCAGTGTTTCCAACTGTTTCACTATAAATGATTCTGTCTTTAGGTCCTTACCACTATGCTGTTAACTTTCTTAAGAATTCCAGTCAGTACAGAAAAGGCCTCCCCAATATCCACAATAACAAAATGTCCCCCCCAGCCTCCTTTCTCCATCCCTCCTCCCTCCAGCCCAGAATCTCACTATCAAAGAGAATCTTCATGAGGAATGCTATTCGGCACTTCCAACTCCTGAAATATAATCTAAAGCTGTGGGGTGTATAGGAGTCAAGTGAGGAAAAGTTGGGAGAAAAATATACCTTTATCCAGGAGGAACTAAGAGAATTGGATATAAAAGAGGGAGGGGGGAAATGTAGCCACCTTCCTGGAGAGGAAAAGAAAAGGTATGGTGGATGATTAAGTGGACCTTCGAAGAGTACAAGCTCTCAGCTATAAAATGAGTAAATTCTGGGATCTAGTATACAGCATGGTGATGATGGTTGACAATACTTTATTACACACTTGCAATTTGCTGGAGAGTAAATAATCTTGAGCATTCTCACCACAAAACAAAAATGGTAATTCTGTGAGGTGATGGATATGTTTATTGGGGTCATCATTCTACAAAGTATATGCATATCAAATCATCATAAATATGTATAATCTTATATATCTAAAATGAGAAAGGTTCTGAATTCCAAAATGAAAAGCCCTAAAGATATTAGGTAGGACAGTGTGACCCCTTCTTATGCATCAGTGGAAAAGAATAACCTGTAGCTACAAGTATCAATATGAATGAATGTCAAAAACATAAAATTGAACATGGATGGACCCACAGGGTATACACTAAGTGAAATAAGCCAGAGAGAGAAAGACAAATACCATATGATTTCATTTACATGTGGAATCTAAAACACAAAACAAATGACTAAACAAACAAAAAGCAGAATCAGACTATAAATACAGAACAAACTGATGGTTGCCAGAGGCAAGGGAGGCAGGGAGCAGGCAAAATGGGTGAAGGGGAGTAGGAGGTACAGGCTTCCAGTTATGAAATGAAAAATCCACACGAATAGAAGGCACAGCATAGGGAATGTAGTCAGTGGTATTGTAATAGTGTTGTATGCTGACAGTAGCTGCACTGGTAGTGAGCCCATCATGACATAAAGAGCAGTTGAATCATTGTTGTACACCTGAAACTAATGTAACATTATGTGTCAACTACATGTAAATAATTTTTTAACTTTTAATTTAAATTCAACTTAATTTATACATGGTGTATTACTAGTTTCAGAGGTAGAATTTAGTGATTCATGAGTTGTGTATGACACCCAGTGCTCACTACATCGAGTGCCCTCCTTCATGCCCATCACCCAGTGACCCTATATTCCCAGCCACCTCCCCTCCAGCAACCTTCCGTTTGTTTCCAAGAGTTGAGTCTTATGGTTTGTCTCCCTCTCTGATGTCATCTTATTTTGTTTTTCTTCCCTTCCCCTACACTCATCTGTTTTGTTTCTTAAATTCCACATAAGTGAAATCATCTGATATTTGTCTTTCGTTGACTGACTTATTTCACTTAGCATATAATACCCTCTACTCCATCCACACCATTACAAATGGCAAGAATCCATCCTTTTTGATGGCTGAGTAATCTTCCGTTGTGTATATATACCACCTCTTCTTTACCCATTCATCAGCTGATGGACATCTTGGCTCTTTCCACAGTTTGGCTATTGTGAACATTGTTGCGATGAATCACTGTTTGTATCCTTTGGATAAATACCTAGTAGTGCAATTGCTGGGACATAGGGTAGTTCTATTTTTAACTTTTTGAGGAACCTCCATACCATTTTCCAGAGTGACTGCACCAGTTTATATTCCCACCAGGAGTGTAAGAGGGTTCCCCTTTCTCTGCATCCTTGCCAACATCTGTTGTTTCCTGAGTTGTTAATTTTAGCCATTCTGACTGGTGTGAGATGGTATCTCACTGTGGTTCTTTTTATGGTATCTTTTTTTTTCTTCATTTAAATTCGATTAGCTGATACATAGTACCTCATTAGTTTCAGATATAGTGTTCAACAATTCATTAGTTGCATATAACACCCAATGGTTTTGTATATCCCTAATGCCGAGTGCTTTTGAGCCTTTTTTCATGTGTCTGTTGGCCATTTGTATGTCTTCTTTGGAGAAATGTCTGATCATGTCTTCTCTCCACTTCTTGACTGGATTTTTTTTTGTTGGTTTTTTGGGTGTTGACAAGTTCTTTATAGATTTTAGATAATAGCTCTTTACTGATAAGACATTTGCAAATATCTTCTCCCATTCCATATGCTTCCCTGTTTCCTTTGCTGTGCAAAAGATTTTTATCTTGATGAAGTTCCAACAGTTCATTTCGGCTTTTGTTTCCCTTGCCTTTGGAGATGTGTCTGGCAAATAAGTTGTTGTGGCTGAGCTCAAAGAGGTTGCTATGTTCTCCTCTAGGATTTTGATGGATTCCTGTCTCAAATTTAGGATTTTCATCCATTTTGAGTTTATTTGTGTGTATGGTGTAAGGGTCCAGTTTCATTCTTCTGCATGTGGCTGTCCAGTTTTCCCAACACCATTTGCTGAAGATACTGTCTTTTTTCCACTGGATATTCTTTCCTGCTTTGTTGAAGATTATTTGACCATAGAAAACAATTTTTTTAAAAAAACATAAAATTGACGGGTGCCTGGGTGGCTCAGTTGGTTGGGCAACTGTCTTTGGCTCAGGTCATGGTCCCGGAGTCCCAGGATAGAGTCCTGCATCAGGCTCCCGGCTCTGCGGGGAGTCTGCTTCTCCCTCTGACCTTCTCCCCTCTCATGCTCTCTCTCACTCTCTCTCTCTTTCTCAAATAAATAAGTAAAATCTTAAAAAAAAAAAAAAAACATAAAATTGAGTGAAAGAAGGTAAATGTTCCGTTCATGTAAAAGACAAAAATAGGCAAATAAAAACAATACATGATTCACACATATACACATAGCTGGTAAAACTGTAAGAAAATGGTCTTACGTGTTTTGCATGCTGTGTTTTATATATGATGTATTTCACAATTTAAGAAATTTAAAGTAACCTTGCATGCAGAAGCCTCTACTATTTCGGCAGATATTTATAGATGATCCATCTCTCTCACCTCTGGAGTTATAGGGAACAAGTCTGTTCACTCTTTCTATGTACAGAACAGTAGGAATTTGAAGACAATGATTGTGTAGCGTGTCCTACCCCAAACCTGTCCAATTCATTTATTATTATGATTTTCTGAGAAAGTATAGGTTTTCTTTAAAAGGATTGGAATCTGATTAGAGTGTGTAAACTCCATGGCAGGTTGGGGAAGGAGGAGATAGAGTTCTCCCCTGCCTGTGCCCAGGGCAAGGGTAGCAGGTGTGGGATTCTCAGAAGTCACAGACATATGTGGTCACTCTGAGACAAAGGTGCTCCTGACACTGCTGGGACTCACAAATCTAGGGCCCAGAAGGGCCAGCTGGGAGGTTGGACATTTGCCCCATCTTGTCTCTAACTAGGAGATTGGGGATTAGGTCCCAGGAGATACTACACATGAAAAGCCCACAGCTCTCCCTGGCTCCTGTTCCTGACAACGGGTTGCTCCAGCCCCAACTCTTTAGTCCATGCTGCTGTTACAGAGGAGGAAGAATACTGAGGTTGTAGCAAGTCCTCTTGTTTTTTTTTAAAGATTTATCTATGTGTTTTAGAGGTTGGTGGGGGCAGAGGGAGAGAGAGGGAGAGACTCCCAAGTAGACTCCACCTCGAGCACAGAGCCCAACATGGGGCTCAATCCCATGACCCTGAGACCCCAACCTGAGCTGAAATCAAGAGTCAGATACTTAACCAACTGCATCACCCAGGTGCCCCATAGCAAGTCCTCTTGAGGAAAAGAAGGGGAAGCAAACCAAATAGGCAAGACAGACCCAACACCTAGTGATGGACACAAAACCTGAGGATGGTCAGAATTTCCAGGTAAGACCTGAGGGGGTGGAGATAGGAGTTACTGGTCACAGACACACACATACACACACACACACACACACACACACACACACACACACACTTCCTCCTCCACCTCCTCCTCCCCTATTCCTTTCTCCTTTCCTGTCTCTTCCTTGCTCTCAGTCAAATACAACCAGGCTTGCTTAACCACCACAAGGAGAGCCTCTACTTGATATCCATGAATTCCCTGATAGTCCAGCCTGAAGTCAGTGCAGATCAGGGGTCCCCAAGCCCCTGGCAATGGCCAAGACACTGTATCTGTGCAATAATAGTGCTCAGGACCCCTTGACTTTCAGGGACAACTCCCTCTCAGCCCACGGGATTATGAGTGGCTTCCAGAATCAGTCTATACCACCACCAAATGAAACAATCTCCACAATAATTAATAGGCCAGCACACCCTAGCTAATTTTTTTTAAGTATCAGAAGTATTTGCAATAGATTTATTTAGGCTCATTTTCCAACTGAGGTTCTGAGAAGGTAAATGATTTGGCCAAGATGGTAGACATGGGACTCAAACTTGGGCCTGCACATGTCACATGTCTGAGTGGAAGCTTTGTCATGGTACTACTAGGTCAGAGCTATTGCCACCCAAGGGCATGATGACGAAATTGGTGACAACGGCACTTAAAACTCTATATATGAAACTTAAAGTTTTGAAAACTCAGCTTCCCACAGACTAGGACCAAGAAAAAGTCCAATTTTCTCAGGACTGAGGGTGTTTCCTGGAAGTGAAATGTTCAGTTTTGAAAGGGGGTAGAAAAGTCCAGGGCAAACATGGAGGACTAGTTGGTCACTCCAGAAGGCACCTACCTTTTGTTACCTCTGTCAAAAGAAAACAGTAATATCAGGGAAAGCTACTATTTGATGAGCATTTGATATAAGACAGTCACTCTTCTAGTTCTGTACAATCCTTATATAATTTAATCCTCAACAACCTTCTGATTTTGGCATCATTATCCTCTTTAAGCAGATGCAGAAACTGAAGCCAGAAACACTGAGCAGACTTGTTCAACATCACAGGAGGCTGGGCCCAATGAAGGCTCATCAGACCCAAAGGGAATATATCTTATTGCCACTTCAAAAAGCATGCTCATGACATGAGGACAGGCTGACATTGCCTGTTTGTGGGTTCATCCTTCTATACCATCCAAATATATGAGATAAAATCTCTCAATCTGGATTTTACAACACAGGTCCTGAAAAAACATTTAATTGATTCTGGTATTTTGATGCATTCAACAGTCCTATATGGTAGGTTTATGTCTCTATATCTTACAGGTAAAGAAAATGAGGTTCAAAGGATATAAGTAATTTACCTAAAATATAAAAAGTAATGAGGATTTAGACAGAGAGGATGCTCCTTAGTAACTGTCCAGCAAATTCCCATCACCAAGATATCTTTTTTCAGACCTCTAAGCTATGAGCTTAAGATTTTAGTTTTTAATTAAGTGGAGAGTGGACTAAGACCTGGGAAGATTCTTTCTAGCTAAGCTCCAGTTCAGCCTCATCCAGGAGGTCTACAGGACAATTTACGAGACACCTAAAATATGAAGTTGACCCCCCAAAAGATCTCCTGTTGCTATTGTCCATAGTTCTCAGATCTGTACATGCTTACATGCCCACCAGTGAGAGACAGGAGTGCATTTTAGTGGCATCTGAAAAGAACAGAGAAAACTGATGAAAGGCTTTGAATGATATAAATTGTTGGAGTCTGTGTACATTTAAGCAAGAATTCCCTGCAATTCTGCTACTATAAATGGCAATTAGAAATCAAACTAGCATCTCCGACTTCCTGCTCCTGGGCTTCTCTGACCACCCAGAGCAGCAGCCTCTCCTCTTCGGGCTTTTCCTGGCCATGTACCTGGTCACCATGTTGGGGAACCTGCTCATCATCCTGGCCATAGTTTCTGACCAGCACCTCCACACCCCCATGTACTTCTTCCTGGCTAATCTTTCCTTTGTTGAGACCTGCTTTTCCTGCACCATTGTCCCCAAGGTGTTGGTCAGCATTAAGACACAACACCATGCCATCTCCCATACTGGGTGTCTCATGCAGATGTACTTCTTCATGGCATTGACCCTGCTGGATGATTTCCTGCTGGCCGTGATGGCATATGACCGCTATGTGGCCATCTGCCTTCCTCTCCACTACACCACCATCATGTGTCCCCAACGCTGCCTGCTGCTGGTTGCCGCATCCTGGCTCTGCGCCCACCTCCTGGCCTTCTCACTCACCCTCCTCATGGCTCAGTTCTCCTTCTGTGCCTCCCATTCCATTCCACACTTTTTCTGTGATGTACCACCGCTCCTCAAACTTGCCTGCTCAGACACTCAGATCTACCAGGACACAATGTTAACTGAAGCAGTTTTCACAGGCATGATTCCTCTCACCTGTGTCCTGGTCTCTTATGCCCACATCATGCACACCATCCTCAGGATCCCCTCATCTGGAAGGAAGCACAAAGTCTTCTCAACCTGTGGCTCTCACCTGTCAGTCGTCACTCTCTTCTATGGGACACTTTTTCTGGTGTATTTCCGGCCCTCATCCTCCTACTCAGCAGACACTGGAATGATTGTATCTGTGATATATACAATGGTCACCCCCATGCTGAACCCATTCATCTACAGCCTGAGGAACAGAGACATGAAGAGGGCTCTGTGGAGGCTCTCAGGCGGGAGAAGATACTCTACCCCGTAACGGGTCCTGCCCCAGACTGGAAGATCACGCTCTCTGAAATGCCTTCTCCCTGCACTTCTCCACAGCAATTTTGAAAACTCAAGTTCAAGGCAAGATGGATGCTCGCCATCATGAGCAGGTTCATCAAACAGAGAATGCCTAACTAGACAGAAGGAGAATAAGATCAACTTGCCAAGGACACAGCTACAACCTGGAAGAAGGAGTGGCCAACCATTCCTACAAGGTGACTTGATTAGTGGGTATACAGGTGTCCAAGAAGATTCAAACCTCACAGTGGGAATCGCCAAAAGAAAAACATCAGACAGAACTGGGGTTCTGGGATGAAGCCAGGTACCAGCCCAGTCTATGACTAACAGGTCCCACTCACTGACAAGCAATGCTCACAAGAGTTGGAAGGGTCAAGTGCTCTCAGTTTCAGGGACCATTTCCAAGCCCAGCTTTTGAAGCTACTCACTGAGAGGGGCTAACCTACACACACAGAAGGCTGAACCGAGAAGACACACAATTTGCTGGGACTGGGAAAACAAGAATAATTCTAGGGGGAAAATGAGGAATAGAGAGATCAGAGGACTGGCCCCAACACACACCCCAGGGATCAGATCAAAGATTGTGACAAAGAGATTACTAGTTATGGACAAATCCTTGATTTTTTGGTTTTTAAACTCTGGGTTATTTCATGTGTCTCAACTGCAGAATAATAAATGCTCATTAGAGTTAATTTGTAAAACATAAACAAATAGGAAAAAAGGAAACACAACCCCTCCTTGCAAAGAAAAACACTGATAATATTTTACAGTATTTCCCACCTATCTTTTTCTAATGACTTTTTGTCTTTACTATGTTGAGAAAATATTGCTGGTACAATTATATGTACTTTCTTGGTTAGTCTTAAAACTTGAGTTGTCTCCCTGTGATTATCTCTTCCTGAATGTTTGGCTCTCTGAGGTTACATCACAAAAACATCCATGATATATTTGCTTTTTCACTATGGTTGGATGATTAGGGGGTTTCTAAGCTTTCACTATTATAAACAATGATGCAAAAAGTCTCTGAAAAGAAATGATTTTCATATATTCATAGTCCATTACATTTAATATTTTCAAAACTAGAATACTAAGTAGTACCTTTTTAGGACCCTTTATCCATTCTGTCAAGATGCCCAAATGAGAGTGCCCAATTGTCTCCATCTTCTCCATATTTTGATGTTCACATTTTCCCCTTAATTAAAACAGATATGATAGACAAAATGGTATCTCTTTGACTTAGTTTTAACTTCTTTGATTTTTTTTTAAATTTTTATGTTACATTAGTCACCATACAGTTCACCATTAAATTTTGTTGTTGTTGTTGCTTTTTATTTTTTTCAGTGTTCCAAGATTCATTTTTAATGCACCACACCAGTGCTCCATGCAATACATGCCCTCCTTAATACCCATCACCAGGCTGACCCAACCCTCCATCCCCCCTCCCCTCCAAAACCCTCAGTTTATTTCTCAGAGTCCACAGTCTCTCATGGTTTGTCTACCCCTCCAAATTCCCCCAATTCACTTCTCCTCTCCACCTCCCAATGCCCTCTGTGTTATTCCTTCATTAGTTTTTGATGTAGTGTTCCATGACGCATTGTTAGCCTGGTGATGAGTATTAAGGAGGGCATGTATTGCAGGGAGCAAGGTGTTTTACACAAACTTCTTTGATTTTTGGTGAAGGAACTGTTTTCCTGAGTCCGCTAACCATTTTTTTTCCATTTCATTCTTTTTTAATATTTTTCCTTTTTTTGTTATTATAATTCCAGTGTAATTAACCTACAGTGTTCTATCATTTTTTAAATTGAAGTGTAGTTGACAAATAGTCTGCAACACAATAATATCAGCTTCAGATGTATGACATAGTAATTTGACAACCATATACGTTACAAAATGTTCGCCACAATAAATTTATATTTGGGAGTTGGGAAATTCAGCTAGAAATAATCTTAGGAGTAAAAGAAATCAAAATGGCTTTCAGAAAATATTGTTATCTGAATGAAAACCAATTATAAAACATTATTTACAAGAAATTTTTCACAAGAAAATTAGTTATATGCAAATGTGAGAAAACCAAAGAAAAGGTTACGAAACACTAAGTCTAGAATCCATCTGTAAAAGAACAACAAATATCAATCCAAGCAAGAAAACAGCTGAGAGCAAAATATGATAAAATAGAATAAATCTACAAAGCTAAAAGATTTCTTGAAAAGATAATTTATATTCCTCTGATGAAAATGGTTATAGGGTAAAATACTAATTATCAATAAGAAGAAAAGAGTGACATTACCTCTGATATTAAAATAAAGAAGATATTACAAACAATGTTATATAAACTTCAAAATTTAGATTTCTAGAAAAACATATCACATCAAAACTAATATAGTAAAAAAAACAAAACCTAAATAAACCTATAACCGTTGAGAACGTTTCATTAGTAGCCCTTCCTTGAAGAAAAATTCAGGCCCAAATGGCTGTAAGAGTGATTTTCTACACACAATTCAAGAAGGAAAACGTAAGTCCTTTCCAAAAAATAGAAAACGCAGGAACACTCATCCAATTCCCTTTATGAGATTAACACAAACTTCATACCAAACGCTGACAATAACATTGCAAACAATCACCATAACAAGTTGATCTCCATGAAGATAAATGCATCAAAGAAATTTATAAAATAAATGCACCACCCAAAGTAAAATATTAGCAATACAATCACAATAATTCAGAAGAAAATAAAATGTATCATTGCCAAGCTGAGTTTTCCCAGGAAGGAAAGGTGGATTTTACATTCAAAACTCAGCCAAAGTAAGTCGCCATATTTATATAGCAAAGGCCAAAAATTATCTGATGCAAGAACATCTCAAAAGATGGAAGAAAAAACATGTCATAAACTCCAACATCCACTCACTGGAAGGTCCTCTTGGCAAAATGGGGACGAAAGAAAACTTTCTTAACCTGAAAAAGGTTGCCTTGTTTTAAACATATGGCATATATAATACATAAGGGTTACCACACATTTAAATCTGTTGTCTAAACAGGGAATGAGAACACCAGCTCTCACCACAGCACTCCAACACTAGACCTGGGGTCTCATCCAGGGCAGTCAGAGAGAAAAGACAGAGAGGATGTAAATTCTCTACAGGAAGAAACATGGGAGCATTTTGTTTACAGATAACATTTTCATACAATTGCAATTCAAAAGAGTCTATGGAGGAACCACTGGGATTAATAATTAGTTACCATCATGCAAAAACAAATAAAACACAGACACACACAACCCCCCACACTCAGACACACACTTCACTACATACACAAAAATCAGTTCCAGATGCACTAAAGAACTGATTGGGGAAAGCAAAATTAAAAAGTTTTTAAAAGAAAATGCTGGCAAATATCTTCCTGAACTCATGAAAGAAAGCACCACTTCAACCAAACACAAATAAAGCACTCAGGAAAAAAAAAATACTGATGAATTCAATCAGTTAAAATAAAAATACTGATTTAGCAAATAGCACTATAAACAGTGAAATGACAAACCAGAGATAGAGGAAATGTTTATCATGTACATAAATCAACAAAGGACTAGGATCTAGAATAAATAGTTCTACATAGTTCTATAAATACATCTGAATATGACAGATAACTAAACAGAAAAAATGAATAAAAACTGAAACAAGCACTTTCAAAATAAGGAAATAAAAATACTAATGAGTGGCACCTGGATGGCTCACTCAGTTAAGCCTCACTCTTGATTTCCCCTCAGGTCATGATCTCTGGCTGGTGAGATCAAGCCCTGAGTCAGCTTCTCTCGTCCCTCTCCCTCCATCCCTCCCCCTGCTCCCTTCTCTCTTGCTCTTTCACTCTTTCTCTAAGATAAATAAATCTTTTTTAAAATGCTAATGAGTATTTATAAGGAACTCAATCTCATAATTAACCACTGAAATATAAAATCAAACCATCAGGAGATGAGACACAAACCACACACAGAGCAACATGACCACAGTGGAAAAGGCTGAAACCACCAGGACTTAGCCAGGATGTGGTCCAACGAGTGCTCTCACACGTTGCTGGTCCAAATGCAATGTGAGACAATCTCCCTAGAGGTCAGTTTCACAATGTGTACCCAACTGGAGGATACAGATATCTTGGAACCTAGCCTTGCCATTCCTGGGCATGTACACAACAGAAAGGAACGCATGTGTGCACCAAGACTCAGGTACCAGAATGATCAACTCACAGCAATGGTAATGAACATACCACCACTACATACACATATCCAGATAAATCTCATATAAGTAAAAATATTGAACAAAAGGAGCCAGAGAAAAGAATACATAGTGGATGAGCACATTTATTTAAAGTTCAGAAACAGACAAAGCTAAAAGAAACTGTTCCAAAGAGGACAGGGATTATTTTCATCCGAATGAAAGAAAAGTCATGATTATTAGCAGGACACACAAAACGAATGTCAGATGTACTGGCTACGTTTGACTTCTAAATCTGGGAAGTTGCACAGAGGGGACTGGTTTCTAATATTTCCTGGGGGTCAGGGGGTGTTTGTGTTTTGCACAGTTTTCTCTGTCTTACTCTTCACTGATTAATTTTTTAAAGTACATACCATGATTACTACTACATGGGCACCAGAATATCTATCTACATTTCTGTGATCCAAAAATTTCTCATGAGAGAAGGATTTTCTGTGCATTTGCAGTGAATTCATTGAGCAGGTCACCATAATCTGAATTTACACGAGGGTATGTATAGCCTGAACTAGCTGTACTCAGTGTAACTATACATTCCTTCTGTTGTGGAAATACGGTATGTTTGCATCCCCAGGACCCTGTAAGAGAATCACAGACAACATACACACACAGTAATTCCAAACTCAAAATGTCTGAAATCAGAATTCTGGCAGGCTACAGGGGTGCATAAGGAGGTGCTGTGATCTGTACAAGACACCACTGAACATGAACACCC